TTCCGGTAGTGCGAGACTACCCAGATGTATTTCCAGAGGAATTGCATGGAATACCTCCCGAGAGACAGGTTGAGTTTAGGATTGACCTGATTCCTGGTGCGGTTCCGATAGCCAAAACACCGTATCGATTGGCTCCCCCAAGAGACGTAGGAGTTATCTACGCAGCTACAAGAGCTGCTAGACAAGGGTTTCATCAGGCCGAGCAGTTCGCCTTGGGGTGCACCGATTTTGTTTGTGAAGAAAAAGGATGGGTCGCACCGTATGTGTATAGATTACCGGGAATTGAATAAGGTAACGGTAAAGAACCGTTACCCACTTCCGAGGATAGATGATTTATTTGATCAGCTGCAGGGAGCGTCTTGGTTTTCCAAGATCGATTTTCGCTCCGGGTATCATCAGATGAGAGTCAGAGGCAAGGATATGCAGAAGACTGCTTTCAGGACCCGGTATGGTCATTATGAGTTTGTGGTGATGTTGTTTGGGCTTACCAACGCTCCAGCAATGTTAATGCATCTCATGAACCGCATGTGCATGCCGATGCTGGATCGGTCTGTAATAGTATTCATAGATGATATCTTGGTGTATTCCAAGACTCAGGAGCAGCATGAGGAGCATCTGAGAGAGGTGCTAGAGATTTTGAGGAGGGAGAGACTTTTTGCCAAGTTCTCCAAGTGCGAGTTCTGGTTGCGCGAGGTGCAACTCCTTGGGCATCTCGTCAACCAGAAGGGTATTTTGGTAGATCCGGAAAAGATAGAGGTCGTGATGCAATGGGAGGTCCCGAGATCTCCATTCGAGATCCGGAGCTTCCTAGGTTTGGCAGGATACTACAGGAGATTCATTCAGGATTTCTCCAAGATAGCAGTACTGCTCACCCGACTGACCAAGAAGTCGGTGGTGTTTCGCTGGGGGCCTGAGCAGCAGGCAACATTCGAGACCCTCAGGCTGAAATTGTGCGAGGCACCGATTATTACCCTGCCAGAGGGAGTGGAGGATTTTGTAGTCTACTGTGATGCTTCGATCGCAGGAATGGGAGCAGTGTTGATGCAGCGGGGTCGCGTGATAGCTTACGCTTCGAGGCAGTTGAAACCTCACGAGGCTAACTATCCTACACATGATTTAGAGTTGGGGGCAGTGGTGTTTGCCCTCAAGATTTGGAGACATTACCTTTATGGGGTCCGTTGCACCATTTACACGAATCACAAGAACTTGAGGTACCTCATGGACCAGCCGAACCTGAACATGAGGCAGAGGCGATGGTTAGATGTGCTGAAGGATTACGACTGTGAGATCATTTATCACCCAGGGAAGGCTAACGTGGTGGCCGACACCCTGAGCCGCAAGGCAGCAGCAGCACCGATTAGAGACATTTGTTTGAGGATGACAGTGATTACTCCATTACTGGAGCAAATTAAGGAGGCGCAAGCCGAGGGCCTCAAGGAAGAGAGGCAGAAGTGTGAGAGCATCGTAGGCCGAGTAGCTTCCTTTGACTATGATAGTCAAGGATTGTTGACCCTTTATGGGAGGCTTTGGGTACCGTACTGGGGCGGAGTACGGCAAGTGCTGATGGACGAGGCTCATAAGTCTCGATTCTCCATCCATCTAGTGGAAACAAAGATGTACAGAGATCTTAGACCCGATTATTGGTGGCCCTGCATGAAACGGGATGTGGCCTGGTATGTGGAAAGATGCCTAACCTGTAGGAAGGTTAAGGCGGAGCACCAGATACCTCACAGCAAGATGCAGCCGTTAGACAGTCCTGTGTGGAAATGGGTGGATATCACCATGGATTTCATCACTAAGCTTCCCAGGACCGCTCAAGGAGTGGATGCGATTTGGGTTATAGTGGATCGGTTGACAAATAGTGCTCATTTTATACCGATCCAGGAGAGCGTATCAGCTGAGAAGCTAGCCGATATTTATGTGCGAGAGGTGGTGGCACGGCATGGGGTGCCTGTTTCAATGGTGTCAGACCGAGATGTCCGTTTTAACTCCAGATTCTAGAAGCGGTTTCATGACGAGATGGGTACTCGTCTCCATTTCAGCACCACTTTCCACCCCAGACGGATGGACAGAGCGAGAGGACGATTCAAACCCTTGAGGACATGCTCCGGGAGTGTGTCCTAGATTTTGGTGGCAGTTGGGATACGTATCTTCCGTTAGCTGAATTTTCGTATAACAACAGTTACCATGCAAGTATTGACCGACCTCCCCTTGAGATGCTATATGGGAGGATGTGTAGGACCCCGATTTGTTGGGGAGAGGTCGGTCAGCGTGTCATTGGGAGCACCGATGTGGTGCTCAAGATGACAGAATTGATCCAGCAGGTACGCAGTAGGTTGCAGACTGCGCAGAGTTAGAAGAAGAGTTACGCTGACAGGAGGCGATCAGACTTGGAGTTTCAGGTAGTCGACATGGTCTTCCTGAAGGTATCACCTTGGAAGGGTGTGATCAGGTTTCGGAAGAGGGGCAAGCTGGGCCCCAGGTTCATTGATCCTTTTAGAGTTTTGGCCCGGGTGGGTCGAGTTGCTTATCGGTTGGATCTTCCGGCAGAGCTTAGCCAGATCCACAACACTTTCCATGTGTCCCAGTTGAGGAAGTGTTTGGTGGATGAGTCAGCAGTTGTTCCCTTAGAAGACATTCAAGTTGATAGCAGCCTGAATTATATTGAGAGGCAAGTCGCGATTCTGGACCGGAAGGAAAAGACCTTAAGGAACAAGGTAATTTAGCTAGTAAAGGTGCAATGGCAGCACCTGAAGGGTTTAGAGTGGACGTGGGAATTAGAGGAGGAGATGCAGGAGCATTACCCAGAGTTATTTTTGGATTCAGTAGCAGCGGACTTCGAGGACGAAGTCTGATTCAAGTGGGGGAGATTTGTAACGATCATTTTTCCCGAGGTATAAGTTTATTTAAATTCCCGAGTTTTATTTTTTGGGCTATAATAGATTTAGTTAAGAGTGGGCCTTTTATTGGGCCAATATGTGTTCTGCCCATAATTCGTACGTGGGGCGTAAACCGTGTACGCGGGGCGTAATGGGTTTAATGAATCACGTGGAGGAGGGGCGTACACGCAGCGTACCATAGGGTACGCCCAACGTACGCAGCCAGGGGAAAAACCCTAATTTTAGGGTTTGAGATGTATTTAAACCCCATTATAGCCTCCTATTTGGCCTCCTCACTTGTCATTCACCCCAGAGAAACCCTAGTTCGTCCCCTTTGCTCCTTGCTTGTGTGTGTTTGACATTTGAGCTTATTTTTGTGAAGAAGAAGAAGAAGAAGAGAAGTGGAAGAAGGAGAACTTGAGTGCCTTGAGCTCATAGATCTGGGATCATTCCTTCATTTGGCATTCAAAAGAGGTATAAAGCTTTAAACGTTCCTTTTATAAGTTTAGATCTAGGAGTTTTGGAAGTTTGGACCTTTTTAGGTCCAAAGGAGGAACCTTTATCTTACAACTTCGTTTTTGGAGCTTAGGATTGCTATCCTTGTAGCTCAAGTGTCCCCATAGCAGTAAAGTTTCGATCTTTGAGGCTTATTTGGAACCATGCATGAGATCTAGTTGGTTTTATGGAAGTAGAATGTTATTTGTGAGAGTTTGAGTCTTTATGAGACTTGTAAGCCATCAAGTAAGCAACATTATGGCTAAAGACATTGAATAAGCCTAGGATTTGGAGTTGTAGCTTCTGGATCGGATTATTAAGCACTTAATGAAAAGTTGGCTTAACAAGGTTGTACGCTGGGCGTACAAGGAAGTACGCGTCGCGTACCGACCACCAGCTAGTACGCTTAGCGTACCTTGGTGTACGCCCCGCGTACGCCACCATTTTGGGCTTCGTGTGTTGGGCCTCGATGTGGGCTTGGTTTTAGGCTTAGGGTCCTTGGGCCTTTATGGCCCATCAGAATTCAGATGCTAAGGACCAAAGATTTGGTAGTGGGCTTGAGTAAGGCCCAATAAAAGGATTTAGGCCCAATATAGCAAATTGGGCCATTAGTGGGCCTATAGTGGGGCCATAGATGGACTTAGAAGGAATTGAGATTTGGACCATGTTGTGTCCCACACCATAGTAGGGGTCAAATGGTCATTTTACCCATAGAGGAATCCCTATTCTGATTTATTGTTTATTTCCCATTATAGCTGGGAAGCAGCCGGAGCAGCCATCAGGGGTTTCTTATTCAGGATTTCAGCAGTCAGCATCACGAGGTGAGTTTCCTTCCAGTGGGAACGGGTCTAAGGCCACAATGCCAGCCCGTTTAGCTAGTAGTAGTTTCCGGACTTCGGTCCGATGCAGTTTTAGTATGTTTGATGCCTTCGTGGCTCAGACAGGATTTATGTGTTATGTGTCCCGGGCTACAGCCCGATGCAGTATGTAGTTTATGTGCTTATGTTAGTTGATATGTTTATGCTATGCTATGATATGCTCAGTCAGATTCCTGATTTCGATCCAATGCAGTTAATTCCGGACTTCAGTCTGATGCAGGGGACAAGGTCCCAGTCACTCCCGGACTTCGGTCCGATGCAGTTTTCGGACTTCTGTCCGATGTAGAGGGCATGGCCCTGGTTAGTTCCGAACTTCGATCCGATGCAGTTTCTGGACTTCGGTCTGATGCAGTGGGCAAGGTCCAGTATGTGTTTATATGTTATTGTGTGGTATGTGGTAGTTTGGGGATCTCACTAAGCTTTGTGCTTACAGTTTTAGTTTTGGTTTCAGGTTCTTCCGCAAGTAAAGGGAAGAGCTCGGGTTGATGGCATCGCACACACCACCGCTTCAGTTGTCCTGGGAGTTGTGTTCTTTAGTTTTTCATGGATGTGATTTGATACAATCTTGATACAGTTTTCTATTGTTTGAGATATTAACGTATGAGTTTTACTTTATGATATTAATATGGTGTTTTTAGTAATTATTAAACAAAAATTTTTGGGTCGTATTTTGGGATGTTACAAATATTTAAAAGGTTTTTATTAAACCACATATTTTACTCTAATCGATCATGCTAAAGCGAACGCATTAATCATCATCAGTAGTTACGTCAGAATCCTCCAAATGCTTCTTCAATAAACTCGCATCCATACTATCAGCGTTTAGCATCTTTAAGAAAGGATAGTCATAATTGGTAAGATCAAAGAAGCGTTGTAGTATAACGTCCTCCACATTTGGATAAGAGTACAAAACTTCTTTTCCATCAAGCTCCACTGAGTATTTTATCTTCATCTCAAGGAAATACCGGTTTAAACCAAGTTCGATGGCGGCAGATTGAAGAGTAGCATTCATCATGATAAACTCTTCTGAGTTCAACAAATACAGAACAGAAGAAGATATACCCTCCCGTACGATCCAATGAAGTTCTTCAAATATCTGCTCGGCAAGGTGTTGGTGAAAAAGGACTTCTTACTTAGAAGTAGAGGCTTCAGAGTTCAATTCTTCAGCATGAGCCGTCTAATCTTTTAGTTTGAGGTAGAACTCAGCGAGACTCTCCTTAAGCATATTAATTTGGTTTTCTTTCTCAGAACAAACCGAACCAAATTCAGAGTTCTTTTTGGTAATTTCTCCCTATTTTGTGTCCATGGCAACACGATGGGCGCAAGGCAACATGATGGGCACTCTTTTTACTGATAACGTTCTTCAACTAGTCAATCGTCCTTAGAAGCTCCTCATGGTGTTGGGAATAATGATCCAACTCCCAAAAGCTTGATAGTTTACCCGAAGATCTTCTAAAAGCTTGAAATCCCTCTCAAACTCAATCCACTACATAGTATAGGCGACATCCCTTGTTTTGTTCTGCAATGAAACCTCATTCATCCAATGCAGACCCTCCAACATATTGGTACGGGCCATATACATACCCTCTTCATTGATCATGTTTCCCAAGGAAAGGAGTTGGAAAATCATGTTACTGGCAAATGGATGAAGGAAGGATGGGAGCGAAGAGGCCACTGACACCAAAATTGGCAGGGATGTTGGAAAATAGGGCAAGGTACCTCCTGTTAATAGTTAAATATCATTTATTTTTATTTTTAAAAAAATGAGGAAGGAATGAGACATAGAGAAGTACTTACCCATTTTTGGAAGAGACAAAATCTCGGAAGAAGAAGAACCAGGGAAAGGTATAGCAGAATAAAAATGCATCACATCCACATCAGGAATCAGGGAGTCTAGATTAATAACATTAGTAGGATCTAATGGATCCTTAGTATATAAAGGAACAACTAGAGTTGCAGTAGAAGCTGGAGGATCAGAAGTCATTATAGAAGTTGGGTGAGCAAAGGCGTTGAATAGCCTCTGACAAAACATAATATTTTCAAGCTCACCCTTATGAAGATGAACCTTGGGGTTGAACCATTGGGGATTGGTTTAGTAGTAATAACCAAGGAATTCGATCGAATATGGTCGGACAAACTATGGCTTTGGAAGATGCTGGAGGAGCCTCATGGGTGGAGGAAATTAAATCTACAGTGGAAGCTAAGGCAGGATCAGGAGTTACCAGGAGGTCATGAAGAGCCTTATCGGATAAAGCATGAGTGATCGGTGGAAGGTTAGACGGGGTGTCAGCAAAACATGGGCCTCGATTAGATTAAGAACGATAAGTATGAATTTTATTAGGAGAAGATAGGGGATGAATACGACTATTAGCTAGAGAATCCTAAGATCGAAAACTACGCTTGTGAGCCACAGTAAGAACGGCACAAGAAGCCCCTTTTCGATGACGGGTTTGGACAAACTTATGGACGCTTGATGTGAGTACTTTTAGAGGATCAAGAGGTAAGACAAATGGACTTCGTCAGGTTGTTGGGAATGACGAAATCCAATATCATCTTAGATTCACCGCTGACATTAGCATCAAACGATGGATCGGATTTGGGATTAGACGAGCTTCCCACCTTTACTCCTTTAGACCGATGCTTCCGATGAAGTCGTTCCAGTAAGGATAGATCACCCCCCTCTCAAATTGGGGACTGAAACCGTAATAGGAGCCCCATAAGAGTTATGGAAATTAGCCAAACCTACGGTTGACTCATCAGGGTCAGACCAAATAAGGTAATAGGAAATGAGTCTCTTAATCACATCGTGCTCTGCAACGGCTAGTTCAGGAGCAGGGTCGGGATCACGGTTTGCCAAATCACCAAACTACATTCGTATAGAGATAGTTGAAGCATCAATGAACAAAAACTCTTCTTTCCACTTCTTGATGGATGTAGGAAGGATGTCGCATATGTCGATTCCCCCCCAATGTAGGGGAAAAAAGATCCAGTCCTTGGTAACCATAGGCACATAAAAATAACGAAAAAAAGATGGTGAAGGAAGAATGTTTAGGGCTTTGCATAGTAGCACAAAGCACAAAACACATGATCTTCCAGAATTCATTCGGAGTTACTTGGGTGATATGAACCTTGTAGTAATCAAGCACGACCCCCCAAAAAGGAAAAGACAAAAGGCATAAACCAAAATTAAAGAAGATCAAGTATATACCAACACAACCAAGTAGAGGATTGGTGATGGTTTGATTTGGAGATGGAAGTTGGGGATGGAATCTAGGATCTATGTGGCAGGATTTCACCAATTAATTCAATTGGTTCTGAGTAAGAATCAATAAAGCACTATGAATCTGGAGAGTATCTTTATCCATGGCGGAGAATTTATGGTTCAAGGTTTTTTGAGAAAGAAAATACACAAATAGGGAAGAAATGAGAAAGTATGAGCAGATGAAGAAGAAGCGGTTTCCTAGATCCCGATTTATAGGAAAGAGTGGACCATTTAAATTGGCATTTGCAATGTTACAGGGAATTAGTGAAAAATAGAAATGGGTAAATGTCTAATCGAATACCTTGGACCTAAATAGGACTTGTATGTTTCTCTAGGAAGTTTCAGCAACGTAATGTCTAGTTCGAATAGTCACTCAACAATCCTAACTAGGGGACTTAATGAGGTATATACCTAATTACTGAGGTATATACCTCCAGAGCAGGATGCCGATGTATGGTATTTCAAACCATTTAAGTCGAGGCTATTAAACTAGACTAGCATAAGGAAGCAAGGTCAAGAGAGAAAAGTCGAGCAAAGGAGCAATCTTCGGATACATGCAACAGATGCACAACTAATAACTCTGAAAAAGTCCAGGTCATACTATACTTTAGTCTACCAATGATACACCAATAACAAACTGGCGTAACTAATGACCACTCCTTTGTATAATTCTTGTGCCCTCAATATAGAGAGCATATATGAGGATTAGACTCTCGTCTACACAGAACATTTCACATTGCAGGTTCCCAAGGTAAGCTGAACTATAAAGAGAACCCCGGTAGGTCGACAAAGGTATGTTACCAATACATGTGACCTACATTCATAAGATTGTAACTTACTCTATCACTTTCTAACTTCATCATTAGAGCGTTCTCCTCAAAGAAATCCTGGTCGACAACTCACTTGTGTTTTTTTATCTCAGGGTTTGGACCTAAAGCATCTTCAGGTCATTAGAATCATCAAGGACCAAAATCCGGATACACATCATTAAGAAAATAGGTGTTACTATGTGTGTGTGTATATATATATATATATGTATGTATGTATGTATGTATGTATGTATGTATGTATGTATGTATGCATGTGTTGGGTTTTATTCAAAATCGTTTTCCCAAAAACGCTAATAATGGCAATAGAAGTTTTAAAATTGAATAAATTTAAAACCATTTTTTAACCCACCAAGGATCATGTTGCAAAGAATGAAAAAAATTAAATCAACCATAGAAAGAAAAGTGTTACAACTTTTGAAGAATTTGATTATCATGGGAGATGGAAATTGATGAAGTGGTTCATGAAGCTCCAAAATATAAGCTCTCTACAAATTTCCACCAAGCAAGGATAAACCAAAAAAAAATGCTAGTCTTCACTTGTATATAAGTTGTTCTTAAGCCTTAAAGTTTATACCAAATAAACCTTAAAGAAAAGAAACATATAAACCTTCAAATCTAGCACTACGTTGCAAGAACGAATAGAGCGGGAGAGAGCTCCAATTTCTCAAAAATGGCATCCCTTTTTTTAATAAATATAATCAAAAGAGCCACCCTTTCTCTTAGTTAGGAACTCCTTATATAAATATCATGATGCACTAGTTCAAGGATAACATTAAATGAAAGTATGGTTTATTCTTATGACATGTAAGGATGTAAGATAAAAGACAAAAGCAAGCCTTTTCTTCTTCCTTCTACCTTGACAAGGTTTAATCACATTTAAATGAAAGTATGGTTAGGTGTGGAACCTATTAAACCATGTCGTTTTTATGGCTGAAGATTATCTAATATCTTACATGATCACGTAGGTTAATTAAAAAAACATCATCTTCTTCTCACCTCTTAAACCTAAGTATGTTAATTGAAGAAAACATCGTTTTTCCTGGCGACCTACAAGTGCGTATTACATATGTCCGTATTCATTTAATTAACAATCAGTTTACACACCTAATTTCATTATATGCAGTTTAAATACCTCACAACCAATCGCCTTTTACACGACGAATTATGGATAAACACATGTTTTACTTGTTTTTAGAATTTCTAATTGATTCCGTTAATTCACTTATTAAAAATCCAAATCAAGTTGGCCAAGACTATATAATAATATATTTAATCGATTTAGTGGCAGAAAGTGGGGTCGATCACATGTAACTGTGGATAATTAGATAACAGCTCAAATTCATTACTAATCGATGGTTTATCATCCAAATTTATTCTCCAACCTTCAACGATCATCCATATTTCTTCAATTAAATCCTCGATCAACATCATCCAGTGTCAATCAATCATCGAACTTCGTCAATAACACGTTTATCAACACCATTCAACAGTAGAAAACAAAAATTCGTTTTTGGTTCTTTAAATCCAACCTTCAATTCCGACTTGAATACGAGCATATCTTCAACATCTATGATTAATTATACTCCCAACATCATTAGATCAACATCATTGATAATCAACAATAATTCCATTTCATATCATTCATTCAACATCGATCATCATACGAAACTTTGAAATTAAGGTTAGAAAAACATCAAATCATTTTTTTTTTTTGAAAAAATTCATATAATTATCTATCAATCTACTATTTTGTAAGTTTTAAATAGTCAAAGTATCATGTTTTTAGTATTTTTAAAAAAGCTAACTTGTATGTACTTCAACTGTTTGATGAAATGCATAAACTAAATTACCACGTTATATTCACATATGAATATATTTTTGCACCTGAATCAGTATATGATTATTAAAACACAAAACAAATATAAAAGTCTATATGTTGTTCATATGTGAATAACATATAAAATCATATATATTTGTGAATATACCTTGTAATATTCATATGTGAATATAATGTGTAATTCACATATTAATATATCATCTAATATTCATAACTGAAAATATATCATGCAATATTTACAAGTGAATATACTATGGAATATTCACATGTGATATACAATGTAATATTATGTAATATTCACATATGAAGATACCATCTAATATTCATAAGTGAATATATCATCTAATATTCACAAGTGAATATACTATGTAATATTCATAAGTGAATGCTTCGTCTAATATTTGAATATATTGTATCATATTCGCAAGTGTATATACTATATAATATTCATATGTGAATAACTGTGTAAATCACTATTATTATGAACTAACAATATAGTTTTAACATTTTTTATGTGTATTAACATGTTTTTTCAGGTATGGTTATACTCAATAAATGAATAACATTTCAATCAATGGTTGGTTCATATTCCAGTGGTTGACGATTGGTTGACGTAATTAAAAGATATCATTGACGAAAGCAATATATTTTTATGTTCATGTGTAAATGTTATACAATTTAATATATTCTTCATTTTGATCATGTTAAATTCAAATACGAATGATATTTGTTAACCAATACAATGTTATTTGTCTTAGTATAATGTTGAATTTACATGTAAAATAATATTGTTACAATATACAAAAAAAAAAAAAAACACACACACGCAAACCAATTCTTATAGTATATTATTTATTTTTATATATAAAGTTGGATGCACAAAATAAATAAATCAACATGTATAGTTTATTCACATAAATAAAAATAACAGACTATCATTATATTTTTACTAGTAAGATTGAAGTTAGTAACAGCATCAGTAAATATGTCGTAATGAGCTCTAAACGTTATTCATATATGAATAAATAACATGTCATGATGATGTCATCACTAGTAGGAATGGAATTTTAGTTACATCATCAAAAAACTATCGCAATAAAGTT